AATATGTGAGCAAAAACCTGGTAACCTGTTTTAAGAAAACAGTAGCATAAGCTCTTTTTAATGCTTTTGACAATGTACAGTAACTAGCTACAGCTGCAATCAAAATTATTTAACACCCCAATCATTTCAATGTTTTATCAATTAAAGTTTTTCATTCAATTTTTTTTTCAAACAGCACAGGATAAATGGACTAAAATCCGAGACTAGAGATGTAGAAAGTTTGTCAACAAAATCATTTATTGGCAGTTATAAAAGCTAAAGGATGCACCYAAAAATACTATGCTTAGGGTTTGATTAATACTGCACAATCGCATGTCTTAAAATACTTCTATGTTTTTATTTAAACTCCAAACTTAGGTCAACTTTTTTTGTCACAATGATTCCAATATGTATCAGTAAAAAGCAAGTTCAATGAGGTGTTTTTGTGATTTAATGTCATCCACACTACTAAAATGTCTGTTGAGATTGTGGGGGTTGAACATGTTTGATTGCAACTATTACAGTAACTGCACAAGTGTTTTATACACAGTTAGRTTAGGTAGATCCATACACAGAGTAACAAGCTAGCCTCTGCTCTGACGACAGTTACTAGCTTAACTTACCTAGCTAACTTACTGGTATTACTTAATAATTTGACTATTACGGTACTTAACTAACAAAAAATAGAACTTAAAAAATAAAACTTACCCTGCAGTGCAGGACTGGTCCACAAGGGTGCGCTGGTTGCATTTGAGGTAAAGGTCATGGGGTTTCTCAGATTTAGCTTGAGACTGGTATGCTTTAGCCTCGAGGATCGTTGTGTCTCCTTCATAACGTACAGTAATATTTTGAATATATCCCTCCACTGCATATTGTAACCCCTTTTGCCTTGATCTGGAGGATATTGCGCTGGTATTGCTCCAAAACGAGTCACTAACACTCACTGGTATACAAGCAATCCCCGTCATGACATGCGCTAACACTCATCGGCTTCAGAAAGCTTGACGGGCGTAGCAACAGTAACTAAGGGGCGTGGCTTCTGCGAAAGGTCAATTACTGAAATAAATCTACTTTTTCATGATATTCTAATTTTATGACCAGCACCTGTATATTTATATAGTTAGTATTTCTCTCTCACTCACACGCACGCACGCACGCACGCACGCACGCACGCACACACACACCATTACCTATGACTTGAGCTCTGTACCACAGCTTGTCTTCAAAGCGGGCAACACAAGCCTGTCCTATCACAGGGCAGAAGATATTCAGCTCATCTCCAAAACCCGTTGAAGCACTGTAAAAATCCTGAAGCTTAGCTGAGAGCAACAAGGACTCCATGTTATCAACCTGATGAGGCAGTGGGGAGAGGGAAACATGTTGAGTTAAAACAAACAAACAAAAAAGTTGGTGAGTAAATAAGAAAACGTTTAGATTTTCTGTCCCTGATGTCATACCAGCTGGATGTAGAAGTCAGAAGGGTTGTTGATGTGACTAACCACAGCACTAAGCTCTGTGTTGGTCTTTGGAAGCACAGGGCAGTAGTACATCAGGGGATTAATGCCTTGTGTCACTGGAGAATAAAATCTGCAAGAAACAATCAAGCTTAGCAGAATTTAACAGCAGTGCCAGACACTGAAAACTATTGTGATTAAAAAACATTTACTAGAAAGAGTTTACTGGTTATCTGTGCATCTATGTACCTGGCCACCTCGTTAAACACGAGGTGCATTCTGACAGAGATGGGCACGTCACTGGATTGTTCCATTGGAGCTTTTCTCAGATCCACCAACAACGACTCTCTGTCCTGGCCCAAAGTTCTCATCTCCACTGCAGCAGAGCCGACCACATTACAGAACTCTACCTTTGACTCCCTACTCCAGCCCTTTGTCTGTGCGCACACACACACACACACACACATACTTTGTTTATTGTTTTCACACCTTTTCTAATTTTTGTAATAAAAAACAAGATGTTTTAGTTCTGTCTTACAAGGTCATATGGGACCAGGTCCTTCAGTGAACATCTGATGGCCAGAGGGGAAATGTAAGCCAGCTTGATGTTCACAGCTGCACTCACTTTCCTCAGATATTTGTTCACAAACTTCAGTGCACACTCAGGTGACACCTCCTCACTGTAAAAAAATACAATAGACTGATCAACAGTGCCATCTGGGTTGCAAAAGCATTAACCACAAGGATTACAATATGCAGTATTTAGCTGCATCAATCTTTACTGTAACTCTGACCAGTTTCCCAGTCTCTACAGCATGATGCTGCCACCAAACTTCACTGTGATCATGTTCTCAGCATGATCAGTGCCAAGTTTACACCAGACCTGGGGTCGAATTTATAAAACTTCCGTATGCACAAATCGAGCCCAGAAACTTGCGTACGCCACTTTTCACGCCAAGGTTGTGATTTATAAAATCTAAACTTGACATGAAAATGTGCAGTCCCTCAGCCAGCTCTGACCCATGTGTACGCTCATATTGGAGATGTGAAGCTGCGACTTTAGCGACACATTAAGTGAGGAATTATAGCCACACTGTGTAATGATCACTGTCAGATATTTAATTTACCTTCATAATCAGACTTAGATTTTTTTTCAACATTTTATTAACATTATTATTTATGCTTCTGCTGTTGAGCCATAAGGACATTTGAAATAAAATAAAAACTTATGTCTTAAATAAAAGTTCACCCATCTCCATCCATCTCCTTCCTCCTCAGACGACCCAGACCCACAGACCCCTCCCCGACAAGAGATATTTCAACAGCAAGACAGCAAAAGTCACGCTTTGGGTACTCGCGCAGGGTTCGCCCAACCTCGGCATTGTGGAT